CGCCTTGTTTACCTACTGTCATGGACCATCACAGAAATACTTCGAACCCGGGTACACGCTGCTGAAATGGGCTTTCTTAGTCGAGTCGCTGGCCTTACGCGTCTCGACATAGTCCGGAATATTGACAATTAGAAGAGCTTTGGAGTACAGCCTTTGCTTCTCCAGATTGAGAAGTCACAGCTGCGAAGGTTTGGACATGTGTTGCGAATGGCTCCAGAAGGGAAGGCTAAGCAATTGTTCCTTACAAATCTGACCGGCAAGCGGCCCAGGGGACGTCGGCCTCCAGAAAGGAAGGCTAAGGAACTGTTCCTTGCAAATCTGACCGGCAAAAGGCCCAGGGGACGGCCAAGCCTCCAGAAAGGAAGGCTAAGCAACTGTTCCTTACAAATCCGACCGGCAAAAGGCCCAGGTGACGGCCAAAGGTTAAACCTGGTGCAAACATATGGAAGGAATCTGCTCCAGACTGCATTTGTCTTTTGCCGAAGCTCAGACTCTGGCAGGATCGGGAATGTTGGAACCACTGTCTGACGCGTTGCCTCCGCGACCCGAAAGGAGAAGCGGCCATGGAAGATGAATGAATGAATGAATGAATGAATGAATGAATGAACTTCCATAAGAATCTCCTTGAGTACTGTAAAAAACAACGTAGCCAGTGACATAACGTGGAAGCGTTCAGAAGGCGCGACATCTTGCGGTTTAAAAATTTTACTGTTGATCCATAGCAGCCTTATTCTGACCTAGGTGCATGTTTGACCGGACTGCGGATTTGTTGTAGGATTAACAACTGTTTTGTAAAGTGGGCAAAAATGTTAATGCTTGATTATATGCTTAAAATTTGTAAATGCCCTGGAACCGACTACTCAAAAAGGCAACGTTAAGCTGAATATACAGGAGTTCGGTTTCTTAATAACTGCACTGTATCAAGTATCTCAGTAGCGTCTTCTAAGCAATAACTACAGAGTTATATTTTTAGTATACTGTTTCGGTAGCGATGGCGCGTGGTCAGCAGAAACTTCAGTCTCAGCAGCGCAATCTGAAGAAACAAAGCGAGCTCAAGAAGGCGCAGAGTCACAACCAGAAGGCAGCGGCGCAAAAGGCTCTCGTCTATTCGTGCCCGGTGTGCAAGGTAAGTTCTAGAAATGGGCAGAATTTGCCTTGTTTTACTTTTGCTGATTATAGCGGCTACTGTTATAATGATCATGCTTAAAGTCATGCTGAGAGTAAGTAGGCGTAAATGCGTATGTATATTATTCTTTGTTTAGAGACTGAAGTGCAGAATGTGCTTCTTCGTAGACCAGGAAGTTGTGACACTAGGATTTCTACTAAGAAACGCTTATCGGAGGAAGTTAGTTATTGAGCACTTCGGTGTTTTTGCGTTAAGTCATCTTTGAACGAAAACTGGTGAAATTGTTTGAAAAGTTTTGGCAAGAAACGTTAAAAAATTGTTAGAGAAAATTTAGTCGGATTTTGGCTCAGCGGTGCATATGTTTATGGCTGCAGACGCTTAGCGTTTTGCATATGGATCATATATTGTGCCATAAGTGTGCCTTTATATATGAATACTGGCTGCTTTTAATTCTCCAGACCTTTCACTTCTGTATGCTTGGGTACGAGTGGTATGGGCTTGGGCTTGTGTGCTTTAGGTATACTGGTTATTGGAAAATTCGCTTGTTCCTGAGGAATGTTTGTGCTAGTTCAGTAGCTGTGGTCAAAACTTTTAGAACAGTCTCAAACGTTATGTGATTAATAGCGTATTGCGCCAAGGCCGATCGGTGGATCACGTCTGTTAAACTGCTGTACTTTTGGTGAAAATGGAGGTGGTTGCGAACTTTAATTGCCAGTGATCTGCCGCCTACCGATTGCAGGACCAGGACTGTGTTGATAAAATTACGATCATTGTAACAGCCGGAAGCACTTAAAGAAACAGCAGCGGCTATTGATATTGCCGGCGCAAGTTACGGGCTTAGACTGAAGCAATCGATGTGGGAATTTTTTCCTTTGTGGTACGCTGAAGAGGAAGTAGTCAAAATGAAGGTTTGTGGGAAGATGTACAGTAGACCTGCAAGTTCTGCCTATCATTATTCCATGGTTTACAGAAACAGATGCTTGTATGCAGATATTCAAGGATAATTCGAGGACTGCTTTCAACATACCACGACGTAATCGGTGAATAATTTCCTTCCCTACCTAAGTGAAAGCCTGTCTGACGGCTGTTAAACCAGCATTGATATATACTGCTGTAGAATGGGCCTTTACTTTAAAGGAAAGTAAGTCGTTAGACGTGCTTGAACTCTCCTGTTGCAGCGGAATTACTCGGTAACATATGGATAAAATAACCAGCATTAAGTAAGTGAAATTTTTCGTGAATGGTGCTCAACGAATGCACACAGCAGGAATTAAAATCAGTTTTTCCTTTGAAAGAAAGAAACTTTTTGGAAGGAACGAAAAATGGTTCATCAGTATCATAGCTGGTTGTGTACAAAGCCCATAATTGAAAAGTTTATGGCAGGCCGAAAAGTCAGCGACATAGTTGAACTGTGCTTATAACAAATTGCCAACCAAGCTAGGCATAAGAATTTGCTCATTTTGAAGAATTTTATGTTTGTGAGCTTAAATAGTAGCAGAATAACCCTGATTTATGATATCTGACGGTTACAAAATGACAGATCTTAAGTATGTCTCAAAATTACGAATCTTGAATTTCTTGATTCACGATTTCAATTCAGTGATATTAAAACCCTTGATCCTGAATCGAGAACAGTCTCAAAAATTACTCCAGGTTGATTTGATGCACGTTATAATTGTTTGAAATATTCGAATAGTTATCCCTGTCACTGGCGCACAACAGGTGTTTCGGCTAATGTTGATTACCATCCTGAGGTGTTTTATCTGTCAGCCTGAGGTGTTGCTGCTTTGTACAGGCTGAGAATGTGCTTCACTTCGAAGACGTAGTCAGTCTGTCACACGATCGTTTTCTTTTGTTTGCAATCTTCAAACTGCATGTGCACGTTCTTGTGCACGATTTATTATCAGAATATTTTCTTCTTTTTTAATGAAGCACTCATTGAAAGCATGCTTTCTTGAAAGACTGATTGCAGCCTAACTGTTATTTCATTTACTCAGTGATAAAGCAGTGTGGCTGGTGTGATTTTGTTCAAGCAGTATACGTGGCTTTTAACGATATTAGGAGCAAAGCTCTGGTGTGGACTGCCACATGGATGAAGTAAATGCGTCTAGTATTTCATCGACCTGCTCTGAGCAATAAAAAATAAGAAATGAAACGAATAAGAGTTACGCTTTATGCTGATTATTACACCGGAGAGTCAGCTGTCAGTTGGATCAAGGCAACGTGCAGCCCCAAGAGCGTTCATATCGAACACTATAGCCCTCGTTCATTTTGACCAGAATATCGCGTTCTCCCTATTTCTCGCAAGTCACTGACCTACTATCCGTTTTCGGTTGGTTGCACGAAAGTAACGAGGGTTAATTCATTGCTCAAGTGAATTCGAGGGTTAAGACAAAGATTGTCCATTGAGCGGATTCGTGCCCCTCGCTTAGAGCGCAAAACCGACCTCTTGCCATTGAGCGATTACGCCCCTAAAAGAATCTTTAATGCATTACTAAATGTTCCTAAGGCTTATTTTGTTTAATACAGCCTCGGTGTATTTTAGTTATGGCGATTTTCTATGGTCGATTGACCACTGGGCCGTCACGGAAGCAGCATCGAACATTGTCCTACAGATGAGATGGTATTTCCGTTTCCTGCTGCTAAAATGTTAGTCCATCGCTTATTCAGACATCCTCTAGACCTTGTTTGGTGCTGGCTTTCAAAATATTTTGAACAGTTGTTGCACTACAGCAGTTACTTAATATATTTCAGGTTCAGACTTCTGACGATTGTTAGTAATGGTTCCTGCTCATCGACGAGTTTCACAGTTGTTCATCTCACTTCATTTTTCAGTTTCTTTTGCAGTGTAAAGGATCCACAGAAAACACTTGTTGCAGATTATTTCGAATGTTAATATATTTTTCTTTACTGTTGCCGTCAATGTCAAAACTACACTGCTTGCCAGGTGTTTCGCTTTTCACAAGCGTCTTTAACAGGCAGATAATTTCTTTAACCTAGACTTGCTTCTCTTCTAGAACAGCTTTGGTTCTGGCAGCACTGCCGACGCTGTCATTCATTATTATTCCTTAAGCCGACGCGTGAGGAAGCTGCGCCGATAACGACTATTGTCTTAAGGTATTCGAATCTTAGGACATGTTCCAACTCTATGCCTTTTAGCCTTATCTGAATACTGTCCCCCTCGTTGTCTGTGATGATCGTCTTGGTCGTTTCCGTGTTTATATTCATTCCAAAAGATGTTGCACTTGTGTTCAAACGACTTACGATATTTTTTGAGTTCTTCTCTGGCACTTCCGAACAATTTAAAGTTGTCTGCGAGCTGAAAATTGCTGCTCAACCTCCCATCAGCTGATACCAATGCAGTGAACTTTTCCATGGCATCCTCCATTATTTTCTCAAAATGCAGAGTTGGTGATGAGCTTCCCTCCGTCTGCTGTGTTGAGCCATTCTTTAGGCGCTTCTGAGATTTTAACTCTCTTCTGAATTCTGTAGAGCTGTTCCAATAGGCTGACGATTTACCTGCTGAAGGAGTGTTCTTTCATAGTCGCTGAAAGTCTTTTCCTATCATTTCTTATCAGTGTACTTCTATAGGTCCATGTAACGGTCTGGGAGTTTCGTGCTTAGCAGGTCGGTGTTATTATTTGTTTTGCAGTACTCTCTGTATTGTATAGTCTGAGTTGTTCCCCTCGTAACAGCTCATCGACATGACAGATAATTTTGTTAAGCATACTTTTCGTACGGCTTTACTAGGACAGCTGACTAAACTGGTAATGCGGTAATCGTCGCACTGTCGTAGGTACGCTTAGGCACAATTATTTAAGGCCGTGTCAGATGTATTGCCCTTTTTTGCGCTAGTTGATCAATTAAGCTTATTCTAGTTGACTGTCGTTAGCCGATCTTTTGTCCTCTCTCCTCCATTTTTCATGTAGCAGCTGTATGTTTACGGTAGCAGCTTCCATTGAGGTAGTTGCTTGTTTCGTTAAGCCACGAATATGCAAAAGGTTCGATCTGTATAGTTTCTCTGATATTCTGTTAGATCAGATCTTTCTTCGTACCCCCTTGCAAACCGACTATCAAAGAAACCTCGTTGACCGAAGAAAGCGTTAAAAAATTTTATTGAACTTTCTAATTTCTGGTTACTGTCCGATGACATATCAAGCTAGTTGTGATTATTCCAGTTTGCTGCATACACCAAAGCTGTTGTAGTAAAATGCTCTGTGCGAATTAGATTTGTTGAAACAGTGCATTTGTCAGATCCGTCTCACATTTGCGTGTAGATTGCAGTGAAAGTTAGAAAATTATCGTTTGTTTTCTGGTTAAAAACTATTTATTACGTTCATCAGTAGTAGCTCATTTTTAAAATATATGAAAGCATTTAGCAGTTGGTTCGCTTCATTTCTATTCATCCTTACACTGTATGTTTCTGTGCTATAACATCTGGTTTTTTAGACGCAGATGCCAGATATAAAAACTTACCAACAGCACTTTGAGAACAAGCATCCAAAAGCACCACTTCCTCCTGAATTGAACGAGGCGTCGCAGTCATGAAATGGGTTTATAACTGTCGTTGCAGTGTTTACTCAAGATAATGTTATAGTTATGTAATATAAACAGTGACATTTTTCCCCTTAACTTCTCCTACCAAATGAACTTTTCTGTGAATTTTTCTGCTTTTGAAACTCTGGCTTTGCTTTACAAGTAAAAGTTTCTTCTTGACTCTTGCGACTATGTTTGAATTTCTCAGACTCTGTTGAATGGTGTGTGCGAATCATTTCCTTACATGGCATTGGCAAATAAATGAGTAAATTATTATCATTATTCAGGAGTAGTGCGGTAGTGAATTATCGCTTTGGTGACTCTGGGTTATTGTTTGACAGGTTCAAAATACCATTCTTCGCTTGTCTGTCGAACTCATCGATCCCACTGACTAGGATCATATTCAGAAGGAAGACATGGTAAAATTATACTAAGCAAACGACATTGCTAGTGGCGAGTTTTCTTATTAACTGGTTCTCTGTCAACAAGGGAGTGCTTCAGTGCATCACACTGTCTATGACTTTGCTTAACGAAAACGTTCTCTAACTTGCATGGATAGATTTTGAAAATCTGCATCAAAGTGGTTTAATAATCGCAGGGAAGTTGATCACGAACCTGTTATACGCATAAAAATTAGCATTTAGAATAAAACTTGTATCAAATTCAGCCTGATGATGGCTGCAGTTATATCATTGACCAGAAGTTGGATCCCAGCAATTCCGCAATTCATTGAGACAGCACTAGATTGCAGCAGGTCATCTGCTACTTTGGTTGCCTTGTCGACGAAACTGGTATCTCTAAAACGAATAGAATATTCATCGGCATCTGCCAAGAGATTACGTGGCAAAATTCGCCTGAACGTGGTAAGGCCGCAGTATTTTCAACTTCTTCAAACCCAGATCACTAGATCTTTGATCTCGTCGTATATAAGTTATTTACGTGGCAGTTCTGTCAAAAGTGAAGCAAGGCACACTTTAAATCGTTCGTTTGATCTATAGTGCTGTGATTCTGCTGAACGAATCTTAATGGATAGAGTTTAACGAATCTTAGTCAACGATAGAGTCTCTAGTTGATTGATTGTTGATGTTGATGTTCAGCAGACTGATCCATAGCGATCAAAGGCCTCGCGGATGACTCCGCGTCACCGGCCTCCGTTTATATGCCCTTGTTTAACAATTCATCCGTTGTCGGTCGCAACCCAGGAGGAGGCTTTAGGATGGTAGAGGTATGTTGTCATTTTCCGTTTCCGTGCTTTTATTCCATTCTGTCGTACTTCTCGAATTTTCCGTTGTCTTTCTAAGTTTTTGTTCATTGTTCCCCATTTGTTATCCACCGTTGCTTCTACATCCTTTTCTTCTTTATCCTTATTTTCTGCCCCTTCTATTCCTCGTTCAGTCCGTCTTCCTTATTGCAGGGCATTTGCTCCGCCCACTCTTGATCAGTTTCCCATTCTTTTCACGGTATTTCTGTTCTCCTAAGTGTTCATCTCACTACGTTACTCGTATTTAATTACCTTCAAATCTTCTGTTTATATTCGTCCATAATCCTCGATTTTAAAGTCTCATTTTTCTGTCTCATTGTCCTGTTCCTGTTTTACTGCCCTTACTCTTCCCAACCAGTTTGCCGTCACTGGATTATCTTTTTGAATTTTGCTCACTAATTTATTTATATCTTATATAGTTGCACATTCACTTTACGACGTGTCCTCCACTTCCTTATGGCTCTCTGTTGTGTTCTTACCCTCCTCCTGTGTTCCCTTTCTTTCGCCTTCTGTTTCTCTGCTTTTTCTGACTGATTCATTTTGACTTTCCCATCTTTACCCACATTTCTCGTACTACCCTACATTGTGGTAATGCTATTTCGCCAGATGCGTCCTCACATTGAACTTATGCGAATTGCCTATCCATTGACGAGGTTAACCACGAACAGAAAGGCAAATTAATATTACAGAATTAGGCCATTTAAGATGCCAGATTTCTTTAGGTGCGATTCAACAGTAACCTCTCTTCACTCACTCACTTCACACCAAAATCTGATCGAACTCAACGTAAATCTAATTTTAATGTTCTTCGTGCATTCTGTTTGGTACTCACAAAATGTTCTTCAGAGAGAATTCTTTGTTTTGTTCGCTTCAATGCGGAATGTCGACATCACAGTTTCGTCGGCGCGTTTCTGTAGTTTCCCATCTAAAGCAGTAACTATCAATGATAAAGAGGTAGAAGTTCAAGGATATCTTGCTAACAGTGGGTTACCGGCATGGATGGATTGTGGGATATGCCACGCATTATGCACGCGTTGAATAAAACCAAATTTCTGCGGTTTCATGCCGTTATAAACACACCCAGAGGTACTTGAACTTTTCAAACTGCTCCACTGCGTTTCCATTTATCTGAAGAAAGCAATGGGAGGGAGAACGAGAAAGCGCTAGGCTTTTCATTTTAGAAGCGTTCACACGCATGCCGGCCAAGTCACCCTGGACTGCAAACCTTTCCAGAAAATACTTGACATCACTTAGAGAAAGCACCAACAAAACAATGTCATCTGCAAACAGCAGCCTTTTCGTCTTCACATCCCTTACCCTGATACCCTCGTCGCTCTGTTGCGCCTGACTACCTTTTCCAAGAACGAGGTGTCAGTGTTGACTCGATTATACGCCATTTACTCTGATCCAGCATCGTCCATCAGCTTATAGTGAGTGGATGGTTCATAGCAACTGGATACCTACCCCATATGTTTTCAGGTATGCACCTTGCTTCTTTGCGCAGAATGCGTTCATGTGATTTCGTCAGGTCAACAAAGCACATGTAAACCGGAGTGCTGATCTCCGGTGATTTCTCAAGGTGAAGGCGAAGAGCTGAAGTATTTCGGTCTGACCTGAACCCACGCCACTCTTGTATTTTAGAGTCAATTATTTCGTGACACCTTTCTAGCACCTAAGAGGCTCAATCAGATAATGTCCCCATAATTGGAGCACTCCCTGTGATCCTTCCAGGACATGGATGCTGCAAACCGCGTTCTTCTGTGCACTCGTCTCTTCCCGATTGCTGCTCCTACAGATACCTGTTAGCAACGTCATGTCTTGTTCACCTAATGCTTTAGACATTCCAGGGCGGATTTCATCATTTCTGCAACCTTGCCATTTTTCACAGCTTGGGTTATTTCATCTGCAGATATACTAATATCCGTTTCCTGCTGCTCTTCCAGCGAGTCTTCCTGGAACAGGTCATGGTTAAGGAGTTCCTCAGAGTACTCTCTCGATCACCGGAGAATGTTCTTTTCCTCGATATGAGGGTGTCTCGACCTGTCTTTTAAGACTCTTAGACTGCCCTTCTGTTCACCTCAGG